GCGGCGAGCCTGCGGGAGCTGCTGCGCAAGGGGGCCAAGTTGCTGCAGGTCTGCGCGCCGCCCCGGGGCTTTGCAACAGAAAAATGTCTGTTTCTTGTAATCGGGGAAAGCAAGCGGCGGGGAGGAGCTGGCGTGGTCCGTGACTTGTCTCCCTTTCTTTAGCAACTTGAGCTTTGCAGATTTCCTCTTTGCCTGTTGTTTGCTGACCTTCAAGAAACGGAAAACACCCGGGTTTGTTTGCTTTCATTAAACAGCTTCCTGCGCGGGGCTGTCGGGCCTGTCTGTATGAGGACGCGACAGAAGTGACCGAAAGCTACTTCCGCCACATGCCAGATAATACAGACCTTGTATTACTAGCCCCAGGGGAGACCTGGCAAGGGTGTAAGTAGGAACACTTCGGTTTAATTCCAAAGAGGAAGCGAAAGCTTTTGGTGGTTAGCTTCTGATTGATTCAGCACATCACGTTTTACTCAGTCTACATCCCTGTTGCAACAAAATGATGCACAAAAGCTTCATTAGTTCCCAAAAAGGGATAGCAGAGCTGAAACTGCATCACCGAATACTGCTCGACATGTAGAGGAGTACAGCACTGAACATAAGCTGGCCATGTGTCAACTTAAAAGTGCAGTTGGATGTATTATGCTTGGTTTTCTGCTTCTTTGTATTAAAAACAAAGAAACTGCACTTGCTCATGTCGTTATTAGCGAGGTGTTATTGTTTAAGGAAATGCTGTCGGAAGAGAATGGTGGGAGGATTTCTTCCCCCCTCCTCTTCCATCTGGGCACCTGACTGTGACTGCCTGCTAAAACCCTGCTCTAATGCCTGGTGAGCCAGATTTCTGATTCCTTTCTTTGCTCACCTGATTTCAGTGACTACTTGCAGAGTAAGGCGTGACTCACAGGGCAAAGTGCTGTTGAACGTGGCTAGGGGGAAGGTAGAATTTGTCCATAAAGGGAGGTTTCCTTCCCTTCTTGAGGGGAAAAAAATCTGGAGTTTTAGCAGTAAATCCCAAAGTATTGTGTTAAATCAGAAACAAATGTAGGAAAAACAGCAGGGTACTCTTACTAATGACCTGTTTATACAGTTCCTGATTACTTGTTTGAGGGTACAATACAAAACCCACCACAAAAATACTTTGGACAAGGTGCATTTGTCTAAGAGTAACAGAACCTTTTTTTCTTCATTCAAAAATCCAGATGTCAGTGATGTTAGTCACTTCCTAAATGCATTTTACAAACGAAAAGATGACATTGTTGAGGCTGCCCAGAAACTGCTATCTGATAAACAGGCTCCCATGACACAGAAGCTGCTACTGGATCTCATTCATAACTTAAGTGAAAATATTGTGGCAGAAGACAGAGGGGAAGACGAAAAGTGGTTTGATGGTAAATCAATACACCTCCACTAAGAATTTCACACAATGAATTTTATTTTGGATTGCAGTCAAACATGGGCCCTTGACATCTCCACCCCCACAACCAATTTTAATCTTTTTACATTTGCACTTCTTTGTTACTCTCCTAAGGGAATTACTCTCATCCTTGGTGTAGTCTGGTAAATTTTACTCCCCAGAAGGGTACACTGGTCCAGCCATTATAGGTTAGTGTACATTTATTCACATAACTGTTTCACATTTTCTGATATATAAATGGTGAATGACCTCCAGTACTATGTTAAGTCTTATTTTAAAATGACCCAACAAAGATCCCTCTCTGCTCCCCATCTGTCTTCCTGCTAAGCACTAAATCCATCAAGGAATTCGGTGCAGTGCCGAGTTATTTCCTCTTACCAGCCTCCCATTCCTTTTCAACCCACACTTTACTTGTAAATATTAAACGTTCTAGGTTGACGTTCTTCCCTCTTTGTATATACTGAGTGATTATGTAGGCTAACTAGTCTGGCAGTCCTGGCCCAGAGCAGGTGCATTAAAACAGGACAGAAAAAATTCACACACAAGTAATCTGGTTTCCTAAGAAAACAGAGGCAACTGAACATTTTTGTCAACAAGCTGTGATGTATTCTTTTATTCCTTGTAGGTATAGAGCCTCGGTTTAGGAATAAATCAAGTTACATGAGGTACAGTTGTGAAAGCCGCATACGAAGTTACATGAAAGAGGTAAAATTTGCAGTTTATTTTCAAACTAGCTGAAAAAGAGTACTTTATATTAGACCTAGCTAGCCAAAAACTTTTTCCATGGGCAGTTATGGGAACCACTTTATCCAAATACCACACAGAAGTATACTGGATTTAGTAAGTAAGCTCAGAGGGCAATAAGTATTGTCTGAGGAATTACTGGGTTTTTTTTCTCCCCAAAAAGGTTAGCAGTTATATTTCAGCTGTTCATCCAACGGCGCAAGCCATATATAAAAGCATCAGTGACCTTATGTTGGACAAACTGAGATCTATGAAATATAATGGATGTTACTTTGACAGAAGAGAAGAGGCAGCAGCCCGCATTTGCACCTCGGAGGGCTGGTTCTCTTGTCAGGTAAGTTAAAAACAGACACCTGAACAAGCATGTAGGTTATTGGAGTTTATAACACACTTAAGAAAGTAAGTGTTACTGGGGATTGTGGAGAGAAAGCCTGTAGGTAGCAGCCAAGTATGAAGCTGAAATTAACAAGTGACTTATCCACAGTAGCTTATACTGCCAGCCATATTTAGCCACAAGTTCTTCTGTTTTACAGGTGTGTTTGAAACTGGCTTTAGTGAATGACTTGAAGCATCCACGTTTCAGAGTAGCAAATTGTGACAAGCTCTCAGTATCAATAACTAGGGCTGGGGGCAAACCAAGTAATTCATTTCCTTGCACCATCATTTTAAAGTTGACTGGTTCTTTTATGAAGTGTTGTGTTGCTGGACCCAGTCAGAACGTTAGAGTGCAGCTCTTTTGGTTAACAAAAAAACCCCATTTGAGATGATGGAAAGCACTGGGTCAGATTGAAAGTATGCTCACTGCATATCAGCATACCAGGGGTGGGGGCAGGGACAGGGCACAGTTTGGTCAACTTTAAAAAGACCATGCTTCTGGCAGCGAAGGGAGCAAGCTTGTTGCAGAGAGCAGGACTTTCTAGGACTTCATATTTCATGTCGGCAAAATGTCTAATTTAGGTTGACATTTCAGTTAGGTTTGCAGTAGGGCATAGTGCCAACAGCTATGCATATAAAATGTCAACTTTAAAAGAGTTGTTTTCTGACACTTGAGATAAAAATTGGATTTACCATCTGCTGTCCTGAACCAATGGCCCACATATTGCTACAGAGCAATAGCAACAGCAGGAACTTCAAGACAAGATTTTTAGTCTTTGGCTAATGTAGGGGTTTCAAACATCCACCACGCTAAGAGTTGCACCCCATTGATCTCTCACATGAGCAAGCACTTTCCCCTATTATTTCTTAGCTGGCCTTGGCTGCCTCAGCAAACATGGGCATGCTTTGCAATGATGGCAGTTGTGGAAGAACCCGGCTACTTGGATGTCAGTTAGCATACAGGCATAAGTTAGTTAACCTGTATTACTTGCCTGTGAATGGAAAGACTAACCAAGTGGAGGAGAGCATAGGGTTATCATAACTTACTTGGTCCATTCCTTCAGTTGCAAAGAAAACCGCTGTCCATGGCAGACTAGGACCCAGCTCTCATCTTTTTTTCAAAGTGGTAAACTGGCTGTCCTCTCACTGTCATATTTACAGGGGCCGTTTGATATGGATGCCTGCCTGTGTAAACATTCAATCAACCCCTACAGTAACAGGGAGAGCAGAATCCTCTTCAGTACGTGGAATCTTGATCATGTGTACGTATACAAAGCTAGACTGAGCGTGCATATTATACACCATCCATGCTAGGCATCTTGAGAAGAAGCCAGCAGGCTGGGTTTTTTTTGTTTTTTGTTTTTAATTAAATAGTGACCTATGATGGCTGGCCTACCTGCTGTATTTGCAAAGCGCAGATATGGAAGAGTGCAACTACTAGAATGAGGAGTACCAGTAAGATGCTGAAGATGAAGACATTGCTCTGTAGTCTACTTATCCATGTCTTCTCTTATCTCCACATGCTCCCTATACATGACACACATCCCCCCAACCCTCTAACACAAGGTTTTTCAACCTTTTTGGATCTGTGTTCCCCCCATGGACAAACAGAGTGGGGAAGGGAGAGGGTGGCGTGCGGCTGTCTGCGAAGCAGCAGCAGCAGCTGCCACATGCAAGCTTCCCCCATGTCCAGCTGGGCAGATGGAGCCTGTGTGGCAGTGTGGCATGGCACGTGGCAGCTCTTTGTCCCTGCCCACGCGTACATAGCCCTTAGTGCCTTCTCAAGTACCCCCTGGGGGTATGCATACCCCTGGTTGACAACCCCTGCTCTAACACGACTGCTGCTCCTTCCATATCTGCCATATCCCAAATCCCTTAGAAACATTTTTTGGTGTTAAATATTTGAAAACTCAATTCAGGAGGCCAGTGGGGCCTTAATTTCTTTAAGAACATCAAACCAACCAAATATCCCTGACCCTGACTAACCCAAAAAATCTGTACGTGCAGGATGCATCGACACATTCATTAATGCGCTTTAAGTAATATGCATTAAATCTAGTACCTCTATTGTGAGGTACTAGAAAAAAGGTGCAAGGGCATTTTTGTGATGTTTTAATGCGCATTAAAATAGGCTAATGCACATTAAAGCATGCGTACATTTGCCCACTGAAAACCTAATAACATCACAGACATATATTTCACAAAAGGGTCAATTTACTCCTCCTCAGAGGATACTGGAGGCCTTTCTAAAAGAAAAGCTGCTGTTTAATGAAATACTCTTCTCCCACCCACTGTCTATTGCAGAATAGAGAAGAAACGTACTGTTATTCCAACTCTGGCAGAAGCTGTCAACAAGCGAGATGGAAGAGAAGTGAACTGGGAATACTTCTACCAGTTGCTCTTTACTGTGGATAATCTCAAGTTTGTACATATTGCTTGCCATAAGAAAACCAATCATAATCTTGGCTGTGACAAAACTAAAATTTACAGGAAAAGGAAGCGCACATGCAAGGTCTTGAAGTGACACCCTTGGAATGTCTCTGCTATTGTTTTAAAAGCTACACAAAGGATGTCTGCTTTCCTAATGCACTGTATGAAGTAGTCAGATCTCTTCTGCTTGGTGAAATCCCACTGCAGTCAAACTTAACAAGAACAGAAATCATCCCATTTTTCATACCATTGGTGCTGGCAGCCATTCATCTGTGCAAAGCAACACCTATAATTTTTAGTATATTCACATGCAAGTGAAAAAAGGTACCTGATACCAAGCGTTGTGGCTTTGGAGGCTCTCCGTTTAGCCACAAGCACCACACGAAGGCAGCTAAAACTCCAAAACCCAGTAGTACTGGATTTTCTTTACTTCTCCTGTTGCTTCTATTTTGTACAAAAAAGGGGGTCTTCTGAAAAGAAAAAAATTGATCCTTCTTGCTGATTCCTAATCCTGAACTGTTTGGTAAGTGGTGAATAAGGGGAAAGTTTTACTGACCTCAATACTGGTAAACTAACTTGCGATTTTCAGAAGGGACTAACAAATTTAGATTCACCAATCCCATTAGCGAGACAGAGAAGCTGTCCTCAAACATCTAGGCATTTTTTAAAATCTCCCTTTATACTGACCACAAGCTGCCAGATGGTTCAAGACTATTACACTCAGGATTGATCTAAATAAGCAAGAGGCAAAAGGTTTAGGATCTCCTTCATCAAGTGAGCCTCAACCTCTTTACTATTGTAAGTTCAGGTCCACAAATCAAGCTGCAGAAAAACCAAGTTGTTTCTGCAACTAATAACTACTAGCTAGCCAAAACAAATCCTGCTTTAAGTCTTAAGCAAAATGGAGCCCTGCAAAGAAGTTAGTTTGGACCTTATGTTCTCCAGATGGTAGGCAACCCTTCACCTCAGATTTACAAAAGCTGAATCAGTGGCAAAGCCAGTAACCATCCTTTGTTCCAGCCTCTGCTCTAACTACTTCCAAACTATTTTTACTGACTTTCGTTTGTGCACATACATTCTGTAGAGCCTAGCAAGGCCATGGCAGAGCTGCTGCTCCACCAATAGTGCTCTATTTCCCCCCTCTCCCTCCTTACATTCATCTTGAAGCTTGCTTGCCTTTTATTTCTGTGGGGGGGAACAGTCCTGCCTAGGAAGGATATTAAAGAAAAAGCAGGTTTATGTTGGTTATCTCTGAGACTTTGTTCATTCAGCAATGCTGTTGCTACCTCCTAGATTTTGGAACAAGATATCAATGAGCCACTTTATAAAGGACTTGTCTGAGGTCAGGCAGATCCTCAGGTACTAGCTAGATGAGTAACTTCAGTGCATCTTTGTATTTTTTTAAGTAATAAAGAACTATTGCCATCTCTCACAGTGTATGCATAGTACCTATGAAGCTGGGTGTGGGTGTATATAAACTGCTTGCAAGAAATCAAGTGAGCTAGAACCATAAGTTGCTCTGTAGCAAGTTCTCACCTTCTTATGCCTCTATAGTCTGTCCATTTATTCATATCCCAGTTCCTTCCAAAGAACAAGCAGTAAACATGAATTTCTGTCATGAATGCCAGACAAAGATGAACAAAGGGCTCATGAGTGACAGGGCCATGAAATACATCTCCCTATTGAAAACTAGACAAGTGTTTCTTCTATATAAAAATCAACGAACATGATTAAAATAAAAGTTTGAAAGCTTAACATATGGTTACCTCTGACTATGAAATCTGTACACTTAATTCTAGTTGATAATTTCTGAAGGTGTTATAACTACAGTCTGATATTGGACTGGCACAGATATAAAGAAAACTGACTATCAGAAATTGGCCTGTTGCCAATAGCCTGTGCATGTGCGTAGTAGCCACAGTGCAGCACGTAGGAAGCAAGGAGCGCAGCCCGGCAGTAGCAGTGTGGAAAGCTGTGTCCAGCTGGTAAGTCTGTTGTGGTGGGAAGGGAGGGGGCGTAGGGGTGGAGCAGATCAAGGCCCTGCAGTGAGAGAGGGAGTAGGGCTGGGGCAGGTGTGGGACATAGCCACAGCTCATCCGGGGGAGGGGTCAGCTCCTGCTGCTGTGCACATCCTGGGGGGGGGGGCATAAGAATGCAGATCTGTCCAGGGCAGGGCAGGCTGCTGCTGTGGGCTGGGGCTGCGCCAGGCTCTTCCCATCGGGAGCTGTGCCAGGCTGTGTTCACAGTGGGTGGTGGCACTGAGAGGGGGGTTAGGGGGGCTCCAGCAAATTTTGGGGAGGCTGCAGCCCCCCCTCTGAGCATTGCCACCACCTACCCTGAGAGCAGCCTAGCCCAGCCCTCCTCCAGGAAGAACCCAGCACTGCCCTGGCCCCAGCTTGCAGTGGCAGCCCACCCCATGCAGATCTGGGGGCACATGCCTACCATCGCCCCCCACCTTGGGATACACACAGCAGTGGAAGCTGCCCAGCACCAGCCCCACTCCCTCCCTCACCACAGGGGCCTTTATATGCCCTTCCATGCTCCTTCCCTCCTCCCCTCCCCTTCCACCACAACAGACTTAACAGCTGCACGCAGCTCTCCATGCTGCTGGGCTGTGTATCCGAAATTGGATTGGTATTGGTTGATACGTCTACTTAAAAACTGGCCACCAGCATCGGCCACAAAAATCTCTATTGGTGCACCCCTAGTTATAACAAAGGTCCTATTATCACCCTGTAGTCAAATTCAACATGCCATTTGCTCCCTGAATATTGAGTTACCACCCTTTGCTAGGCTACTGAAAATAAATCCATGCTATTTGGGTAGACATGCACTAGATAAACTGGCAAAATAACAGATAACTGTATGGTTTAGCTCAGTGGGGTCCAACCTTCTTGGCAGTCATGCCACAAATGAAATCCCATTGTCCTTCTCAACTGCCATTTTGATCCCTTCCCTGCCAGATTTGCTACTCTACTTTCTACTCCCTGCCCCCTCCCCAATTTGCCAAGTGCCACGTACAAAGGCTGCCTGTGCCACTTGTGGCATCCATGCTACAAGTTGTTCACCCTTGCTTTACCTAGTTAAAAATCATGAACACCCATAAACAGTTTAATATGTTTGTAGATTTCAGAAGAAAAAGCAGCAAGAAATATGGCTGATAACAACAACAGATTAGCTGAAGTGTAATTGTAAATAACATGCCAGGCATATACTATTTGTTTGGCTTACAATTTTCATGCGAATGCTCAATAGGCTGTAGCTTAAATATTAATTTCTATCTGCTAATTATTATCATTATTTTACTTCCCTGGAAAGAGAGAAAGCAATTACTGACAGTTAAATAAATAAATAAATACATAAATAAATAAATAAAGTCCTGCAAGTTTATTGCATAATTACCAGTTTCAAGGAAGTGTTATCATGAATGTTAGAGGAATTAGCAGTTTTCCTGAAGTCATCTGAAGGTGCTAATTATTTTCCAGAACTACTCAAAACACAACAGTGTATTTTGCAGGCCTGCTCTTGATTAAAAAACATGGTCATTCACTTACCAATGATTTACTGGAGAGCTTGGAGATAAAGGATCTCCTCCCCCCTTCTTAAGTATTAGGAACGGAATTGCTAACCTATCAGTATTGTCTGGGATGATATAGTTGGGGATGGTCCTGCTTTGAGAAGGAGTTTGGACTAGATAAGGTCCCTTCCAACCCTAACTTTCTATGACTACATGATCAGTAAAATCTGCAAACTAACTGAAGATGACAGGGTAGCACCGAGTACAAATGAGGGCAATATACAACCAGCAGAATCACTGGTGATATGAAGGAAAGCAGGTCCATCTTGCTGCTCATATTTTAGATGTTTGCTGAATTTCTAGACAATAAAAACCTTCAAAGCTATTGATAACATGCTATTTTATAACCCAGAGGAAAATAAAACAAAAAACCCTAAGAAAACAAACAAACCATAAAAAGGAACCTAAACTGGCATGTGCACAGAATTATTTTACCGAAAGAACTACCGTTTCAATGTTGCAAGCTAGTAAGTTTTAGCAATGAATTAACTATTTAACTCTAGACATAAGGGCAACCTGATAATCTCTTTTGGGATTTACTAGAGACTAGTAGAGAACCACAGAATTTACACAAGTGCACACATTTTGTTCTTAGACATCTGTTTTGTTTTTTTAAAAGAAACCTTACAGTGATCATTTCTATTTCATGAATGAACCCAAATTTGCTTAATAGAATTTTGTTCCCAGCAAAGAAACAAATAAAGGAAATGAGCTGTTTAATAAAACAAGTGCTTTAATTTTATGCAGTTGGTAAAAAGAATTGATATGGCTTGTAAATCTTGCAACAGTCACTCATTATTTCCATATCCATTAAAATATACATTCCTCTTTCCACATTCAACTATGAATTTTGTAAAATGTCTAATATTAGCTTAGAAGCAAACCCTGCTAGAATTTCTCTCCGGGGAAAGGAACCTGTAGAAAGAAGTCATGTTGGAGAAGTACAGCAGATGGCAATGCTTACCGTAATATTTCAGTAAATATTCTGTCTCATAAAATATATATATTTTATACATTCTCTGCTTAAAGTACATCATCATCGTCATCATCTTCCTTTGCAATGAAGTGGAGCTTTCTAAACTCTCTTCTGCTCATTGCGGTGCATGGGAGTGCAGCTGCTGGCAGGTCCTTTAAGGAAGGATAATTAATTAACAAAAATAATTTGCTGCAAGTAGAGCACCCCTCCCATACAACCTAATTATTCCCATTACTTTTCAAAGGTTCCATAACTGGAGTATGCCAAGTCAGTTATACACACCCCTGCACTTCTTACAGGTGACTCTATATAACCCTTAGAGCAGCAGTTTTGAGGTTTATCTGGCTCACACTACTCAGGCCAACTACTCAGGCTAACAACAAGACACACTTGCCCCAGCATTTGGTGCCTCTGTTTCTTTTGGGAAGGAAAAAAAAGGCATTCAGGGCTAGCTGCTGTTTAGAAGGGGCTTGCCACAGAGTCTCTGTATGATGGTCAAGAATTAATCACCATTAAAAAAAACAAAACTGTCAAGTTTTCTTTCCTGAAGTTACAGGGTGATGGTAGTGGAGCTAGAAAGAAAACTCATTGTTCTGTCTCCTGCTTGGGTCCAACAGTAGAACTTGTCAGAAACCAGACTGTTTCAAGGGATATTCCTGAAAATATGGCTGGGCATCACTGTAACACAGCTTTCATTAAGTAAAAACCTTCCAATTCTCATAGTATGCCCACCATGTAATATGGTATATGGATTCTACTTGCACAGGCATCAAAATAAAAAAAAAATATATTACAGAAACAAGCCAATATATTCTAAACAAATATTGTGCCTTCCCTACTCCCAATGGAAAATGTCATTGAAATACGTGCATTCTTGCAAATGATTTTGCTTTAGATAAAGCCACAGGTTTCAACAAGTCTGACCCCTCAGAATTTTTCAGCCAGCTGTACCCTAAAGACACGGATACTTCTTTAATTGGTTGCCAATATTGGTTATATTTGCTTAAAGTTTTAACGTTCTGTATTCCAACCGAAAGCTGGAAAATAATCGAGAGACCAGATGGAAAGAGTGACAATAGTGTCTTCCTACCTGTATGAACTCAATATTTCCAAAAAATCGGTCCACTGGCATTGGCTGATTACTGTCTTCATCTAAAAAAGTGTTATTATCCAGTTGTAACGGTTTCTTTTGGAGATCTGCAGGTTCTAGCTCGGATTCAGCCGACTCCGCACTCTCGCAGCTACTCTCCTCGTCCACACTGAGGTCCTGGTTCTGCACAAGAGTGCCATCACTTTCTGTCTTGGGTGGGCAACTACTTGCTTTCAGTGCTGAGGGTTTTATGGAAACATGGTTTCCATTCCCCCGTATGTCTTCATTAACCGTTGGGCCATTATTGCCTTTGCTTTCTAGCCTCAGATGATCATGGACGGAGCCTTCCACGTCTTCATCAGATGTTTCCGCCCGTTCCCTTGCCGAGGGAACACCTTCACTTCCCGACACAAGTTCCTGTAAACCTGAGTTTACTAAACTACTCTTTTCACGTTTTAGCCTCTTTGAGGGCTGTCGGCAAGTTGCTTTGTGCGAGGAAGCCTATTACAAAAAGAGAAGGATCTGATGTTTACAAACTGCACTAGACAACATTAAGTAACAGCTGGGTGGGCTTCAGCTTGCTTCAATTCTACCACGTGAAGGGAGATTTCGTTTTCAAATAACCAGTGGCTCCCAAAACAGCTATTCATTTGGCAGCCTCCGCACAAGGAAAGCGAAGCACAGATCATCCCGTGTCCCCGGGAACATCTGTCTTCACGGATTTCGCAGATCAACCTGCTTCAGCCAGTGCCGCCAGGTGTGTCACTGCCGCAAACACGGCAGTGACACGCATGCCACAGGCCGCGCGGCCTCTACACCCGCCCCGGCCTCCATCATATTCACTCAAGACCCGTGGGGGGGAGGGGGAGGAGCTAGAAACCCCCGTCCTGGGCTGGGCTGGGCTGGGCTGAGCCGCCCGCGGGGAAGGCCCGGCCGGGGCGGGAAGGGCACGGTGTCTCCCAGCCCCAGGCCTCGGCTCGCCCCTCAGCGACCGACCCGACACGCGGGAAG